ATCAGATGCTGTCCCTTCCCCCTCACACCTCCCCCTTCTTCCTCAGTACCCTCTCCCATCCCCTGACTACTCCCTCTATGCCCCCTCCTTCCCCACCCAGACCCCCTCCCCTGGCCTCCACCAAGTCTACAGTAACCCCACCCTCCTCACTGCATCCTCCTCCCCTTCTGCACCTCAGCCCGCCCCACCTCACTGGCCACCCCCTGAGCAGCCTCTCTTTTCCCTGGCTAATGTGTTCTCTCTGGCCATGAGCATGGCCCAGTCCCTTATGCCCCCACCTGGGACCCCCAACCAGGGCTTTCATCCCCAGCCCCCGTTTCCCTCACCCCAGAGCCCCATTGCTCCATTTCTGGGCTCTCAGCTCCATCCTCTAAACCATACCTCCTCCTCAGCTCCCTTCTCCCTCCAACCGCCCTACAGCCCCCCTACCCCTCAGACAGGTCCTGCACCTGAAGGCCAGCAGGGGGTGCCAGCCAGCCGGGCTCCACAAACACCTCAGGTAGGAGAGGAGTGGGGGCCGGTCGACACTCAGAGTGTTTACTTGTACTTCACTGTTAATAATAATAATAATGATAATGATTGGGCATGTCCCAGTTGAGTATTTTGGTCCAGATCTGAGTCCTTTAGCATCAGGTTTCTGCTGATACAGTACTTCTATTTACTCACTTGCTCCTTACTACATATGTTCTTTCATTCATTCATTCATTGCAGCATCACATTCCAGAGCAGGTGAAGGTCAGCTCAGCTCCGCCCCCCCATGGTGAGTACCTGGTGACATCACAAAGTAAAAACATGTCCTCGCTTCCCACTCTGTAATAGGGCCGTCACTTTCCTTAACTGCCATGTGAGAACAATGTTTGAACTGACACGTAATTCATTTGAATTACTGTAGGTCTGAGAATAGGGACTCTTAACGTTGGCACAATGACAGGGAAAGGTAGAGAGCTGGTGGACATGATGGAGAGAAGGAAGGTAGATATACTGTGTGTGCAGGAGACCAGGTGGAAGGGTAGCAAAGCGTGTAGCATTGGAGGGGGATACAAACTGTTTTATTATGGTGTGGACAGGAAGAGAAATGGGGTAGGAGTGATCCTGAAGTAGGAGCTCATGAGGAATGTTTTAGAGGTGAAAAGAGTGTCAGACAGGGTGATCAGTTTGAAGTTGGAAATTGAAGGGG